TATATATATAATTTTAACTACCTATCAATTTCAATCATTTTTCTCCTACTTTTATATCAAATCAACTTTAATCGTTATATTTTAAATATTATTTTAATACAATCTCAAAATCTCACTCAATCCTAACACAATCAGCTTATTTATAATTAAGACTGGCTAACCAACAAGTCTAATCAACACGAAAATAACATCTACCCAATCACCCCTTAGGATCAAGTCGTACAACATTAAGTTTATATATCAATGAGAATTTGGGTCCAAAGCTACGATTTTTCCTCATATTTCTTTAGTTCCATGATTATTCGTTCAAAACTATTTTTGCCTAAATTTGGGGGGAAGTTAGGAACCGGGTCGTTGAAAATTTAAGCTTATAAATCAATGGGAATTTGAGTTTCAAACTATGATTTTTCCTCATATTTCCTTTTTTTTTTTTCGATCATGTACAAACGCATCCTAAATCATATGGTTGTTTGTCAAGGGAGAAAAAGATAAACACTTCATATGGTGAACTGTTAAAATGAACCCGATAGTTCGTATGGTTCTTTTTTTTTTCTTTTTATATATATTCTTTGGTAAACTGTTAAAATGAACCCGATAGTTCGTATGGTTCTTTCTTTTTTCTTTATATATTCATTCTTTCTTGTGATTACTCATTACTCCAATCATTGGGAGTACTTTTTCTAACTAACCTTGTAATTAAATCCTAAAAAATCATAGAAGAAACAAAAAAGTAAAGGGATAGTATTCCAACCTGTCCAGTCGACACGATTACGGGATCTTTCATCAACTCGAGAGATACCGGGCAGCGAAAATCATCGGGAATGATCGGGGACCTATGCTTGATCGAGTTCTTGTCGAATTCAGTAGTAGCATCATTTTCGGTACCATCCATCATTACACACTCCTTGATCTTCCTCAGAAGGTACGACATTGTCTCTATGTACTCCTCCGAGACTCCCTCAGGTACACCACCGCATGAGATGACCATCTCATGAATGGTGAGCAGCTCCCTCTTTATATCGGCTGTGGTCCTAAGAAACAATTTTTCGGAAAGTCGCCTGAAAACCGATGGCTCGGGATCATCCTCCATTTGTGCAGCGGCTAAGTCCACCACGAGTTGCAAATCTGGTGTCTCGGTTTGGGCTATTGCTCGTTTGAATTGGTGGTGTAGGAGTTCAATCTGTACAATGGAGGGGGAAAAGAAGAAAGAGAGAAGACAGGGAGATTATTGTTTATGAACTTAAAAAGCCGCATTATAAAGGGAAAAGGATGTAAGTGCTTGGGGGATGCTTGGATACAAGTTTTTTCAAAAAAAAACCCTCATTTTCTCAAATCTAACTAAACTTTAACTCAACCCCACTATCCTAAATATTATCAATATAATTAAATAATATCGCTCCATCATTCTTACATGTTTCATCAACTTTAATTAACTATTCATCAACTCACATAATTTTAACTAACCATCACTTCGCATCATCTATTTCCTACTTTTAAATCAAATCAATTTTAATTATTTATTATAAATGTTATTTTAATATAAATTCAAAATCTCCCAAACAAATAACTATACCACTTTTTTCAAAATTAACTATCCCAAACCAAAAAATCCAAACAAATCAAAACATTTGATATCTTAAAGTTTACTAAAGATTCTAAAAAAAAAGTTTACTAACCTGTTCTCGAACTTCATCGGGTATATCGAGTTCGTTATAGGGAATCTGACATAATGAAGCTTCGATCAGTTGTGTTACGTCTTCAAATCTTGCCGCAATTTTTTCGACTTGGAGAGCCTGTAAGAAAGTACATAACAGTAAAGAAAACAAATTGAGCATGCTAACACGAGTTATGCAGGTAAAAAGAGGCGGTCACCGATTTATCTACATTTATGGCAAAGATAGAAAAGGACACCTTATATTTACTTCAATCATTCAAATATTTAGATTCTAATTTCTAAACACAGCTGAAAGTAACGAAAAAAAAAAAAGATCATTTAGGCAAAAGCATCATATATCTACTTCCATTATGATCTATGCATTAACTTCAACAGCTTCATTTCTTAAAAATATCGACACCTTTTATCTATATGTATGCAAAGGAGCATACATTAGACGAATGAATACAACAACAACAACATAGCCTTTAGTCCCAAGCAAGTGGGGTTAGGCTAGAGATGAAACCCAAGAGAAACACAAAAAGACAGAAACACATTAGACGAATGAATGACATTTCTAATATGCATCGGGCAATACAGTGTATGCAGAAGCCCAAAAACATTAATCAGAAAATTCAAAATCACAATCAACAGCAAGCTTCATAACGACAGAAAGCATTTCCTCAACCGCAGGTATCACAGAAAACGTTATTTCAGCGTGGTTTATTCTGAATATCTCTTGATATAAAGATATTCAAATGCCCATAGAACAAGACGAGAACTTTCCGTGATGCCTCATACATCCTAATTACGGAAGTAAGATTACAACATTGAAACAACATTGATCACGAAGAAACAACTCATTCTATATCATCAATGATTGATTACCTATGATAAACTAGATGTTTTTGTACAGCTCAATTCCATGCTTAAATTTTATCCCTTCAGTTGCTCTAGTCGACTTTTAAATTTCAAATCTATATTCAACTAAAATGAAAAGAATGTTCAGCTAAATCATGAGCTGCCCAGAAGACGAAAACAAGAACACACAATGCGAGACTAGAACGAACAAATACCCAACTCATTCTATCTAATCAATGATTACCTATTATGAACAACGTATTCTTGTGACAACAAAATTGTCACAATTAAACAGCTGAATTAAAAGATACTCCTTCATTAGCACTAGTCTACTTTTAAATTTCAAATCCATATTGAATTAAAAAGAAAAGAGCATTCGGCTAAATCATGAGCTGCTCATAAGAAGAAAACAAGAACACACAAAGCCAAGATTAGAACGTATAGATTTCAGCCAGCAGAATCATTTCACAGAAATGAGAAACTTAAAAAAGAAAAAGAAAAAAAAAACTTTATGTATATATACCTGGAAAATCTTACTCCCTTTATGGACCGATTTCAACAGTTCAAGGGCCGAGTCAAGAGCTATTTTGAGCGACTTGAGCCCCCTAACGACGTCGTCCCCAAGCTCCCCGTCTTCTCCAACGTCCTTAAGCTCTTCAAACAGAGGGCTCAAAAGCTTCACCCTTCTCACCAGATTACAGTACATCTTCCTGGAAACCGTTCTGCACTCGGGCAACTCATAAATCGCCCTGACCGACTCGCTGAGCTGGCCCAGTAACGCCTCGTCCCTCGTACTTTCCCCCATCATGGGCGAAAAAAATTGGGACAAATATTGCAATAAAGGCGCAAACTTGGGGAAATTCAGAGATTCAAGATAGGCCCAGCTGGAGATTTAACAAAAGCGCGCGATTTGCAGGTGATCGGGGCAGAAGAAATGGCAGTGAAGGCGAATTTCTAGAAGAATTTCGGGGGTTTTCGAAGGGAAGAAATGAAAGCAAAGATGAAAGTTTTTAATTTTTATCTTATATTAATAATTTTGTGTTCTGTAATGTTGGTCTATTTTGTTATAATAATGCGATGTTTGTAATAAATTTTGACCTTTCAGGAAAGTCCCGACCAAGTCCTCGACTTTTTTGTTTAGAGACTATTTTTCGTGCAAGATTTATGGTAGTCATTTGCGAGTTTTGGCAAGTGTAAAGTGAAGACAATGGAATAATCAAAGTCTAAATTAGGATGTCAATTGATGGTGTGAAAAGTGAGACTCAGTCCAAGTACAAAGACGTGTTTTTTATTATAGTAGCAACTTTTTCCATTTTTTTAGTTCAAAACGTGTTGTGTTGTGAATGTGCATTGTGTGGCATCCATACTCTCTCAACTCAATCAAAATTTTGCTTTAATTTTTAGTTTGTCATTTTCTTTTTGGTTCATTTAGTTTTGCCTTTTTCATTGTGGTCAATTTTTTCATTTCAGTTTGTTGATATGACTCATATATTGACAAAGGAAGGAGGCTGGCCGATGCCTGCGAGCGTAGCGAGGGAAGCGCAAGCGACCGAGCGAACCACGTAAATACATTGTGTATTGATGTATTTGGGATAACTTGTGAATAATAAGATCACTGCTCCGCCGTGGACGTAGGCACATTGCCGAACCACGTAAATCTTGTGTCATTTACTTTCTCGTCTTTAATTCGTATTGTCCTCGTTTCACAACACAGTTGTTTCTTTTTTTTATTATTATTATTTTTTTTTTTACACTAACAAACTCTTGTAACTTCTTGTAAACCTAAACCAGACTGTAAAATGAGGGGGAAAATCTATACTCCAAATCTAAAAAATATGCAACATCTCGCACGGTAATTTTCATCTTCTACACTCACTTAAAATTCAAGTTTGATTGAGTATGAGTGTGTTAATGTAGAGCCAAGGAGATGTTGGTCGAAAAAAAGTTGCAACATCTAGCCAAAAATTTTCATCTTCTAGACTCCAATTTTCAAGCATTCGAGAAAAAATATGCCATTTGAGGGGAATTTTTTATAAGAATTTATTCAACAATTTTCAGAGATGCCCAAGTTACCAAGTTTACAGAGGATTAACTTTCAGTGTTTTTTAGTAAGTGAAACCTCAAGAAAAGAGATTAATATTTTATATTTATTTTTCTTGAGTAAATATAGAAGATGATTTGTTGTATGTAGGTATTATTGAATTGATGGGACATTATCTTGCACTGCATTGTGAAGACATGGAGGGTAATGGTAAAGAGTTTCAAGAACAACTTAATGGGCTGTCTTCTTCGACACCAAATTATGAGGTTTAATCTTTTAATTCAGTAGTAGAGCATTTAGAAAGTAAACTATAGTTGACATGAAAATGAATAACATTGAAGATGCATATTTACTCTACTGTCTATATGCGCATGCTAAAGATTTTAGTGTTAAAAAATGTGATCTACCATACTTTCCGAGCATTAAGGAACTGCAAATGAAAGAATTTGAATGTTCTTGTGAAGGAGTTACAGATGAAAGACATCCTATTAACAATATTCCTGAGTATAAAAAATCAATAACTATAACAAAAATGCAAAACAAGACTTAGAGTTGCGAGGGAGAGAGAAACAGACTTGGAAAGTGAGCAAGTTTTATGTGGAACACAATCATGAAATCATTCTGCCTGATCAAACTCATTTGTTGAGATCAACACGTAACATCACACATGCCAAAAAATCAACTCTAGAAGCTATGGGAAATGGTGGAATTTATGTTGCTAATGTTGTTTCTTGTATGAAAATTGAGGCTCATAGTGCACAAGCATTGGGTTTTATCAGAAAATATCCATATAATCATTTTAGTCGTCTAAAGAGGTATACAAAAGTTGTACACAAGAATACCTTGTACTTTGAAATAATATAAACGAAATTATAACAAATTGTAAAGTAATCATTTTGTTCACTTTTCTTTTTGATATACTCACGTGTAAACTCATAGTTTTGTTATGGAGTCATCAGCACTTATTCACCAATAATGTATTGACACATGTCCTGTAATAAATACAATTTAGATAGGTGCCAATCTATACTACTCTAAAAGGACGAGTGTTTTTGTAAAAATATGAACTACCTAAAATAACCTTAATTTGACATATTTTTAATGGCAAATTAGTAATACACTAATACATATTTTATTTATATTTTTAATTAAAAAGATGAATTACCTAAAAAACCCTTACTTTAACATGTTTTTTAATGGCAAATAAGTAATACACTAATACCCATCATATCTTATATTTTTAATTAATAACTAATGCTTAATTTATTAAATACAAATACAAGAACAATACATTTCACATCTCCTAAAAATCAAACAAAATATTCACGCACCATTCTTTATCACAAAATGGCTTTCTTCCACATATCTCCCAAAAATCAACCCAACATCAACCTAAACAACAAAGTTTTGAAAAGATATAGAATTGTTGTTTTAAAAAAATTCTTGTTTTTAATATACTTTTATACATTATCTTACAAACTAGGTAAGTTGAACAATTTCATTTAGCTACTTCATTATTTAAGAAAGTAAACTCTTATATTTAGAACTATAATAGAAATTGCACTTTAGTCTAGAATATTTGGTTTGTGTAATTGTATTTAATTAATTAAATATTAAATAAGTATTAGTATATTACTAATTTGACATTAAAAACATGTCAAATAAAAAGTTAATATATTTTTTCCATAATAAATTAGAAAAAAAAAAGTAAATTGTGTAATAGTATGAGAAATAAGTTGTTGAATAATTATTTTGCAACCTAAACTCTAAAATACTCAATTTTTTTACTTAAAATAAGATTATTGTAATTTTATGTAATTATATAATACTAAAATCCAACCCATTTTTTAGTCGAATGGGATATTGCTTGAGCAGCATGATTTAAGTTTGATCATATAATTATCTACGAATTAATTAAGATGTCTAGAGAATCATGATATGCTTATACGCTGAAAATTAATTAATTTTTTACCAATAAATTATATCATGTATCATCATTACTCATCTATTATTAATAACTATAACTAAAAAAATTAAAATCGATAATGTTTTCCTCACAACACCCATAAATTATAAAAACGTTTTTTTTTCAAAATAACCTATAAAAGTAATGTAATAGTATGAAAAATTAATTGTTGAATGATTGTTTTGCAGCGTAAACTTCTAATCTACTTTTATGAAATGCATAATACTAAAACACATACTATTTTATTTTTATTTCAAATGTATACTGCTTGAGCAACATGATTTAATTTAGATTACATGATTATCTATAAATTAATTAAAAAACAATTAGAAAATCATGATATGCATATATACGTTGAAAATTAATTAATTTTAGCAATAAATTATATCGATATATTACCATTACTTATCTATCTATTTATCTGTATTATTTTAATAAAGTAATTTTTTATTAAAAAAAGTACATAATTAATTTTTTTATATTTGAGTATAATATTAATGAGAAAAATTTAATTATATATAATAAAATAAAAAATGTACAATTAATTGATTATAATAAGACAACTGTCCCAAAAGGTTCTATATTTAATTTTATATATTCTTCTAACAAATATATTAAGGAAAAAAAACATCATAAAGGAATATATATATATATATATATATATATATATATATATTAAAACATATAAAATAACAATATAAAGGAAAAACATATTAAATTTGATAAATAATATTAAAATACACTTAAGTTGTAACACTTACTAAAAAATATGAAAAAAAAAAATAATAAATAAAATGTTATGGTTAATAAAAATAAAGATCAAACTTTTAAAACTTGTACTTATTGATGTAAACGAGCTGAGTTGTTAAACGCTTGTTAATTTTTTGTTCTTATTAATTCTAGGTGTAAGTTTTAGGTGATAGACAATAGTTGTATATACTTTTATTGGTCATTATCTTCAAAATTAATTCAAAATATCTAGAGAACTATAATATGTCTATATACGCTGAAAATAAATAAATTTTTATCAAGAAATTATATTCATATAGTACCATTACTCACGTATCTTTTTTTGAAACCTTACGATAAAAAAGACTTATATTAATAACAAAACAAGACTAGATAACAACTATTCAGCCGAATATACAGCCAACGACCGAATAAGCTAAACAACTTTTTATTAAAAAAAATGTACATATTTTTTTTAATATTTGAGTGTAATATTAATGATAAAATTATAATTATATATATAATCTATTATATAGATGTACAACTATAATGAATATAATAAGACCCAAAAAAAGTTATATACTTAATTTTATATATAACATATGAAAGAACAATATAAAGTAATAAAATATTAAATCTGATACATAATATTAAAAATATAACTAAGTTTTAATACTTACTAATAAATATGAGAAAATGTAATAACGAAAAAATAATGTTGTTCTAATAGAGATCAAATTAAATTACAATAGAATTTTTGTGGATTAATAAGTGTACCATCAAAATAACATAATGCCATTACAATTTATAAATTATAGTTTTTATTATTTGTCATCTTTCTCATATGTAATACTTTTTTTTACACATTAATACAATAACAATATGTTCAATAATATTAAAAAGAAAAGAATATTTTTTTCTCAATTCGACATATGAAAATAATAAAAAAATATTATATTTTTTTAAAAAAATTATGAACAAATATTTTATGTTATAGTATAGTTGACTCGACAATATAATTGATGAATGTATAAATTACGAATATATAACTAAAATTCTACATATAGTTAAAAAAGACATAAAAATATTTTTAAAGTTAGATAAAATTATGTCGCAAAAGAGAGAATATAAGCTATCATCAAGACTAAAAAGAAAATAGAGAATAGAGCGTACAATTGTAAATTTTGATAACTATTATATTTCGTTTAGTTGTAATATTGCATTTATATTATATCTTTGATATAGTTATGAGTTGAACTAAATTATAATTGATTGAGTTTTAAATTAATTTATTATTTATCTTTCTTTCGTTTAATTTTATTTTTTAAATAAAGGGCATGATTAAAATTATGAAAAATGTTCCCATAATTTTTGTTAGATATCTTATACTATATGTTTTGGGATGAGGTCTGTGTCGGGACTATTAGACAAACATGGATCTGCCCGTAATTCTAACAAAGTATTTTTGTTAAAATATTCATTGAAAAATTCAAACGAGAATTGTAACATTGAAATATTCGTTAGAGTTGTTGTTGAAATTCTGTTGTAACATGCTTTCATTAGAATTTCATCATTTTCTTGCAGTAAAAGTATGACTCCAAATAAAATAAAATAAAAGCTCTATATATAATATTGTGTGCAGTTAATTATTTTATTAGTATTATAACAACTAAACAAGAAGTAAACAAGAAGTAAGAATGATGTTCTATGTAATAAAAAGGTAAGACTAATACTAAACAAGAGGTAAGAATATTGTTCTACATGATGAAAAGGTAAAACTACACAATGAGAAAGATTACAGCTCATATTCCATCTAAAAGAAATAATAAAGAATAAAATAAGTAAATGTCCCATATTAATTGAAGCTAGCGAATGATAAATCTAAAACATAGTTGAGATGCACATTTGTAAAAACTATATTTATCTTTTTGTATAGTCATCATCTTTTTAATTAACAATTTAATTAATTTTTACCATTAAAATTTTAAATTTTGAAATACTTAATATTTTTTATGTTTCACTTTTATATTTAATATATCACATCATTTGTTTCTCATGATGTTTGATTTGACCAATGTATTGTAAATAAAATATATATATATATATACATAGAGCAATTTAAAATAATATATACCAATTTATAGATCCATGTTAACTCAATTTTATTAATTATAAAATAATATTGGATAAACTTGTGATATATTTTTCTTACATAGATTTGAAATATTCAATAATAAGAAAAAAATGTAATTGGATGTAAACGTACATCTATTACCAATATTAATTATATGAATTAAAAGAAAAAATAAATGAGTTGTATGTTAAACTATTATGCAATTATTGCTTGAAAGAGAACACCATAATGGTTTTAAAAATATATTTTTTTGTGGATATGAAAATAAATTAGTTACTTAGGAGTTTATCATCAATGGAAAAAAAAAATCCAAAAACTTTTTAATCTTATAAACAATATAAAAGTACATTTTTATCAAATATATGATTACTATATAAAAAAAAAATAAAACTCAATGTGTATAAATGTGCTCTAATTTTTTCAACAAATAAAATATTATTTGTGAATAAAATAAAAAACAAATAAAACAAATAGTAATGCAATGGGAAAAAGAAACGGTCAGAACTTTTTTAGAAAAGTATGAATACCAATATTAAGAAACAAAAATCTTTGAAAATTACTACTTTTTTGTTGCTAGCATTTAAATATATGTTATCTATAAGAAATTGGTTCTCATAAATAGTGATTCGATATTATAATAATATAAACCAGGAACTTTAATAATGACTTCATAATAGTAAAGTTAACAAATGACTAAGAGTATCATAATATAATAGAATTCAAATTCTTCTCATCTAAAATATTTTGACAGATAATATGCGTCTCAATATTGTCTCATTGTTTTTTTTTGTTTTGTTATTATTGAAGAATCAAGAAATGATCATTATCTTGAATTTTCGAAGCATTAGTTATGATACAAAAAGTGGACAATAAATGCATTAAATAAATTATTAGACACATAAATATTGCAAGTAATTCAAACGAATGTGAAATGTTTTATGATAAACAACTCTAAAATCATTGCAACAACCAAAATGTTCAATGATATGCAAATTGCAAATAATAGGTTATGTAGTTCATCTATCGTCCAAATAAATAACATTGAAAAGGGAATGTTTGATTATGATTAAATTATTTTTGAATGATTGAATAAGTTCACTTTTGATAGAATATTTACAATCTTAATTGTGTATTGGGCTCGATCATATGTGAAATTACTTTAGAATACGTATTTTAATGTGATGTGTGATAATTTTAAAAAATAATTTAGCGACTTCGAAGAAGTACATGATTTTGAAAAATTAACTTTTATTTAGAGATTAAATTCGTTTCCACCCCATGGAGTAAGTACCAATTTCTCTATCTTAATTGTGTATTGTGCTCGATCATATGTACAATTACTTTAGAATACGTATTTTAATGTGATGTGTGATAATTTTAAAAAATAATTTAGCAACTTCGGAGAAGTATATGATTTTGGAAAATCAATTTTTATTTAGAGATTAAATTCGTTCTTACCCCATGGAGTAAGTACCAATTTGTTATATGGAGAGAGAGAGAGAGAGAGAGAGAGCAATATAGTATTTTATACAATGATTAAAAAAATATCAAGAATTTTAATGACGCAAGTATCAAGAACTCTAATGATACAGTTGGTTATATCACAGATATATTTATGAACTGTTATTAAATATACTTTATAATGATCATACAATCATGAAGTTTGACTATATGTTTGGCTAAAGTATCTCTAAGTGTTGAATAAAGCACACGTTTTACCAAATTAATTAAGAAAAATTAACAATACTATTGATGTATTGGAATACAACGAGTATAAATGTTTCTTATGAGAACATCAAATTAGAATGAAAGAAAATCACTCTTGAATCTACATAAATAAATAAAAGAACTCATGCATCTATAATATACATTAGGTCCTTATTTAGTGTTTTTTTTTATTATAGACTCATTTTCATATATTTTTGTTGGAGTTGTAATATATTATTTAAATTTTTTTATATTGCGACATCATTATATTATTTTTGAAAAAATTAAAAAAAAATAATTAAGAGTTTATTTAATCTATATGTTTAATAAATTAATTAATTTATCTTATTAAAATTAATCGGCAAAAAACATTTGTCACCACGTGCATCGCACGTGCACTTTACTAGTACATTAAATGGAGCTGGCTTCATAAGAAAACTATCACCGTAGAATTTTGGGCAAACTCAACCCTACTGGCGCTATTCTTATGAATTTTTACAGTTGATCAGACACACTCAGATCAGTCCGTCCACTGAAAAATCCTACGAAGGTGAGAACTGAATGTAAATGCTCTCATTTTTAGGAGCTGCTTTTCGAAAGCCCCTGCACATTTTGAATCTGGTGTTGTTTATTTTTATTGTTTTCTGATTTTCGAGGAAATGAACCAAATTTATATACTGCGAAGAGGCTGAGGAGACGATGGCTATGAGGAACTTTTATTTTAGTTTAGTCACTGTTAATTTTTTTTTTGTCTGTTGCATGACCAAGGTAAGTAGGGTACACTCAAAAGAAAAGGACAATAAAAATTTGATTTTTTTTTTCTAGTTTTTTTTTTTACTTCGTTTCATTTTGTTTTTGGGTGGTTTAGTTGATCGTTTTATCAAATTCCACAATTTTCAGAGATAACATTATCCAGAGACATCATAGGCAGAGGCCACGAGAGAGAATATGGCAAGAAGCTCTCCAATTCCAGATTATGGAGCTTTTGTTGAGAAATTCACTCTATTGCCCAAACCCAAACCTGGTTCTTCTCATCGACTTGCTTTAACTGGCCTTACCTTTGCTGTCAAAGACATGTCAGTCAGTCCCTCTGCTTTTATTTTTCTTTTATTTTCTGTTGATTTAGTATCTTATGTAATTTGTGTATGTGATATGTCTTTGATGATATGTTCTAAAATTAAGGTTGGTAATAGAGATTACTTATAATTGATTTTTCTGTTTTACTTGATACTGCATTTCAATTGCCAATTATTCTACAAAGAATGAAAGAGTAATCATTTCTGGTTTAGTTATTCAACCCAATATCTGAAATTCTTATATTCTGAATCAAGAAATTCCAGAAATAAAAAAAAAATAAAAAATTATGTTCTCAAATCTTGTGACACTGTAATTTTTGCTGTGTGTTTTTATGTTACTTGATTGGAAAATATATGTAAGTAAGTAAATTTTTATCGTTCGTGATGTGCCCAGATTTGATGTAGAGGGTTATGTGACTGGTTTTGGAAATCCCGACTGGGAAAGAACACATTCGGTAGCAAAATCGACTGCAGAGGCTGTTCGGTTAATGCTCGAGTCCGGGGCCACTTGTGTCGGTAAAACTGTCATGGATGAAATGGCTTACAGGTTTTTTTTTTAATTTTTATTTTTATTTTATTTTTTGTGTTTTTCTCCACCTATTCAATGCATTTGCAGTCTCTAAATAATTTCCTAAATGGGTGAAATTGCTATATTATTTGAATGTTTTGATCAATAATAAAATTACTTCCCAAATGCTAAAAAAATAAAAAATCTTGATTTAAAAATTAAAATACACATACTTTGGCAGCATAAATGGTGAAAATGTGCATTATGGGACACCAACAAATCCGTGTGCAGTAGATCGTGTGCCGGGTGGCTCCTCAAGTGGATCTGCAGTTGCAGTTGGTGCAATGCTTGCCGATTTCTCTTTAGGTGATTGCTTTTATTTGGAAAATTGCGTATGCTTTTTAATCACAAAATCATATATTATTATTATTATTATTATTATTATTATTATTATTATTATTATTATTATTATTATAAACTCGAAGGATCATTTTCGCAAAGGTACTGACACTGGAGGAAGCGTAAGAGTTCCGGCATCATACTGTGGAATTCTCGGTTTTCGCCCATCTCACGGAAGTGTCTCGACTGATGGAGTTATTCCTATGGCACAGAGTTTTGATACTGTTGGTAAGGAAAAAAATAAAATAAAAATTAATGATTGGAAAATAATTATAACTAATACCTCTTTAGCTTCATTGTGATAATTAGAGCCTTGCAAAAAGTTAAAAGTGTGTTAAACTTAAACACCGAATTCTTTAATATTTTAGGGTGGTTTGCAAGAGATCCATCGATATTGAAGCAAGTCGGCAAAATTCTATTGCGGTTACAGGATATTACTCCACCTGCTAAACTCGGTCAGCTTATTATCGCGCAAGATTGTTTTAATCTTCTAAGCATTCCTCCCCAACCATTCATAGACATTCTCGTTGCCTCAGTCGAGAAAATATATGGAAGTATGCTCAGTGTCTTTTATTCTGCTGTTTTTCAAATGTTAAAATTAAAAAAAAAAAAAAAACGAGGAAGATAAAAAACAAATAAAATAATTTTGGGTATAGGTGAGAAAATACAGTTTACGAATCTGGGGGAGTTTGTCGAGACCAAAGTCCCGAGTCTTAAGCATTTTATGGGTGATTTTACCAAACGAGAAGACAACAATGTACCGTCCCTAACAGCACTTTCTACCGCCATGCGATTACTTCAAAGGTGCACATGAATAGTGTGTTTATTTGATTTTTCCCTCTTGTTTGCTATTTTTTTATTTAACATTTTAGATAAATTTACAACACAAAACCAGGTACGAGTTCAAGAACAATCACGGTGAATGGGTTCGTACAGTGAAGCCCAATTTAGGCCCAGGAATATCCGAACGAGTACAGGAAGCACTTAAAACAACAGATGAAAACACAGATATATGCTATTTGTTGAGGAATGAGCTTCGTGCGGCTCTCAGTGATCTATTGGGGGTACAAACTCTTTATGCGTTCATTATTTTAAGCCACCAAATCATAGGCCATCTTCATAACATTTAAACTCTACATTCAATCACCTCTCGAGAGTCACATTCTTAAGTTCCTAAACGACTTTTGAAATTTTTTTCTGCATACAAAAAAATATACAGGATTTTGGCATCCTAGCTTTGCCTATAGTTCCAGGGCATCCACCAAAGCTGCAAACTAATCCGATATCTTTGGAAGACTTTCGTGCCAAAGCCTTTAGTTTGTTATCTGTAGCTGGTGTCTCTGGATTTTGCCAGGTTCTCTCTCTCTCTCTCTCTCTCTCTCTCTCTCTCTCTCTCATCTCTGTATATGTGTTTTGATTTGAAATAAAATTTAACAGGTGAGCATACCACTTGGAATGCAAGATGGGCTCCCGGTTTCGATTTCTTTGATGGCAAAACATGGCTCGGATGGATTCTTGCTCGGTTTTGTAGAGGCTCTTTATACAACACTCAAGGACCAGAGCACATTTTCTTAAGGTTTTGCACTTGTAAATTAGTACCATAATTAGTTTCATTGACCATGAGCTTTGCTATGTATAAAAGGTTCTCAGCCGATTGCTTTTTGTTACAATATTTCAAACTAAACTGTATTTAAATGGCAATCAAATAAAAAGGGATCATATGTCAAAAAGGAAAGTCAGTTGCAATGTAAATCCATGTTAACACATTGTGTTTGAACTGCTGGTCTAGACTAGCTAGAGTGTTGTAAATTGTAATAGATTGGCTAGAATATCCAACAGTGTTATTTATGTTGAGTCAATGTTATTATTTGAGAGAAATAAAATGAACATATGAATTGAAAAAGGATATATTAAAATAACAGCCATACAAAAGAAATAAACAAATAAATACTACTTGTACAAATACAATCACCAAGCAATGAGTCTATTATATGTCTTACCTAACATAATAGACGAGCATTCGTTTGTAAACAACAGACTTCTAAAAGGAAACTCATATTTTTTCCTCAAGAATAATACAGGACAACTATTTCATTCTACACGTAGTATGATATTTAACCACAAATATACACATTTTTGTTAAAAAGTATACATATAATTGTCATGGAAAAAAGAGTTCTTCAGGTATATAGCAAGCTCGAACCAAATAACCTTTGTGCACGGCGCACCATCATCTTCATGAGGCATCATAAACTGCATCATCATAAACTGGATAAGATCTTTTTGCATGAATCGAAAGTTTCGAAAAAATCTGAACCCCAATGCTTCAACAAAACGGCGAACAATGCCAATCGATTGGCCTTCCATTTTTTCCAAAATCTCACCGTGAGATCATAAGTTCTTTATATAATGCCCAAAACTAAAAATCCCCCAGCATAAGTTCTCAATCGAAGATCTTTCTCCAGCTCTAGCAGCAGCCCACCAGAGATAAAAAAATAAAAATAAAAATACGTGCATGCGTAGTTAAAAATCATGGTAAAGGATCAAATTGTACATGAATTCCATCACTCACTTGAAAGAAAAGGAGGCACACAATCGAGATCCCTCATGTTCGCAGACAAATGCCCCAACAAAGTGTACGTCTCATCACAAAGCGGATGCTTTTTGTCTCTCGACGCAAAAGAACTCGTTTGACCATATACGTTAATCCAACTGCACCCGACCTCCTTAGTCAACCCTCTCTCGACCAATTCTCTCCTCACGCTCTTCACATTCTCCCATTCACCCTCTTCTGCATGCATATTCGAAAGCAGAACACGATACCCAGTTTTCCTCTCATTCCCACCTTCCATCTCGAGCAATTTATTCGCAACGATTTTTCCCAACTCGAATTCTTTGTGAACTCTGCAAGCAGAAAGCAGCGAACCCCATATTCCAAGCACGTCACCTTCTCTCCCTAACTTCCGAGCAAACTCATACGCTTCGAAAACCCTCCCAACTCGTCCCAACATGTCTACAACGCATGCGTAGTGTTCGGAAGAGGGCTTCACGCCATAATAAGTCTCCATGGACTCAAATATCTCAAGGCCTTCATTGATTAAGCCACTGTAACTGCAGGCGGTAAGTATTGCTACAAAAGTTACAGCATCTGGGTAAACACTAAAGTCCCTCATGGAATTGAATAACGAGATTGCCTTTTCGCCCATTCCGTGTTGACCGTATCCCAATATCATGTTCGTGTACGTGACCGAATTTGTTTCGGTTAAGTTTGTAAAGGCTCTCTCGGCGTAAATAATCGAACCCGATTTTGAGTACATATCCACTAGAGCGGAGCCTACAAATACATTTTCGTCGAGAAAATTCCGGATGGCAAAACCGTGAATTGCCTTCCCCAGAGATAGACTTACCGACTGGCTACATATTGGAAGAACCGAAGCTAAAGTGACTGCATTGGGCTTTACATTCTTCTCCTCGAGCATCTTCAGGAAGATGGTTAAGGATTTTTCGACGAGCCCGTTTTGGGTAAACCCGGAAATCATGGCATTCCACACAGCAGGATCACTTTTCAAGTTCCTGTTGAAAATTTTCTCGGCGAACGATAATTTACCTGATTTTGCGTACGTATCTATAATATAGCTATCCATCCCATCAAACTCAATCCCATGCCTGATGATGTATGCATGCGTCTGTTTACCGATTTCTTGATTTCGAAGATTTGATGCTGCAGATAAGAAAGCAGTGATTGTGACATCATCTATCGAGAACCCGATTTTCTGCATCTCGTGCGCAAGCATCAATCCTTCATCATTCAATCCGTTCTGGACGAGAGCACAAATCATGGTATTCCACGACACGACATCTCTTTCACGCATCTCACGAAAAACTCCGAACGAGTCCCAAATGGAGTTGCATTTCGAGTATAGAGACACAACAGAGTTCATCAAAATAACAGAGGAAAACAGGGAAGTCTTTATCCGATACGAGTGCAGTTGCCGGGCAACTCTTGGATTTCGCAACTCTGAAGCGGCAGTTACTGCCAAAAGGAAGGTCACGTCATCAATATTCTCACCATCTAAATCTAATGCCTCGTTAAAAAGCTCGAGCGCATGAATTGGGAGATTGTTTTGAATGTAACCACCAATCATCGTGTTCCAAACGTGCGCATTCTTCTCCGAGCAATTATCGAAGATCTTTCTAGAAGAATCAAGGCAGCCAAGCTCTGCATACATGGTAATAGCGGAACTCACCACGAATAAATCGTTAGCATACTCATCATCCAATTTCGTCACAATCCCATAAACTAAATTAGCAATATCGACATCCCTTAAACCGGAAATAGCTGGAAAGACATTCACAAAACTAACTGCAGTTGGCCTAAATCCCATTTTCATCATCATCACAAAACACCTTACCGCCTCTACAAATCGACCATTCTTGGCGTACCAAGCAATCATAGTATTCCAAGAGACTACATTTCGCTTGCGCATAAACCCAAAAACCCTCTCCACCAAATCACACCCCGAGTTCATACAACAGGCTGCGTACATATTCAATAGGGAATTATACACAATCCTACTAGGATACTCACCGGAACGCAACACGTGGCAGTGCACGGCTTTGCCCGTCAGAAGCTGCTTCGTCTGGGCGCAAGCTTTCAGAACGGAGGAATAGGTGTACGGATCGCATTTCCGGTCGCCGGAGTGGCTGAGGGAGCGAATAAAGTGGGAGTAGAGGGATATAGCCTCGTGGGGCATGTCGTTGCAAATGTAGCCGATGATGAGAGTGTTCCAGAGCACGGTGGTCGGCTGAGGAATTGTGTCGAACAGTTGGCGGGCAAGGCTGAGCTGGCCCTTCCGGCAGAGCTCGCTCAACCGGAACCGGATGGTTCTGGGTTTCACGGCTGAGTTTTGGTGGGCGCCGGCCGAATCGCATTGCGGATTTTGGCTGAGCTGAGGCGTGGAGGCGGCGGCGGCGGCAGAGGCTGAGGGAGCGGGGAATTTGTGGTGGTGGGTTTGAGCTATGGCGGATGAGGTTAAGGGAAGGGGCAGTGGTGAAGAAGACATGGCTAAGCGCATTTTTTCTTTTTCTTTCTTTTTTTTTTTTAATGCGATTATTCCAAATTAATTTCCTTTTATATTTTTAGGTCCCACATAAAATTTGCTTCGTCATTTGTTNACTGGCTGTTTCGGTTCAGAATCGACCCACCCATTCTGGGGGCGAACCAACAATTAAAAATAAATAAATCGCCAAACCGCTCGAAATCAGCAGTTCAATTTGTGAAAAATCATGAACCTAAACGGCTAAACCGGCCCGGGTAAAACCACAGGCCGGTTCAACCCGTGGACATGTGGAAATAGATTCTTATCTTAAACATTAAAGTCAAGACTTGTTATTCAAAACGAGTTGTTTGAGTAATACGGTTTAGCTGTAATTCTATGGAGTTATCCATAACTTTATATATTGATACGTGTCCAATGTGTATTTATTGCAAGACATGTGTCAATACACCATTGTAGATAACTGTGGATGGCTCCATAAGCCGAGTCATCTGATGGCTCCATAGCAAAACAGGTTAATTTAGTTCGACTTGTAAAATGTCGTTCAACTCGTTCATTCAGTTAAATGAGCCGAACTTATAATTAATTGAGCTTATTTATTAAAAACTAACTTAGCTCGTTAACGAACAACTTATTTATTTATTTATTTTTATATTATTTATAAGATCGTAATGAACGGCCAAGCAAAACATGTTCGTGTTAGCAAACAACTCGTTGACGATTTTGGAAATATTAAATGAGCCGAACTTAGTTTTCACAAGCATGAACTCCAACTCAAAATAGTCGAGTTGGCTCGGTTTAAATAACACCCTTACATAAAATTGACAATATTTTCCAGTGCTCCCTTTTGGGGTCAGCCGGGAAATTGTCCAAGGATGTTTATGGGACTGGTGAAACTGTAGCTTACAGTTCCAAATCTGCTCTGTTCTTCTGACTGGGAATTGCCTCAAGAGGTTCAAGCCGAAGATGTATCTTGAGGCTCAAGTCAAAGATATCTATCTCCATACACAGGTTTTACCGGCATCACAGTGAATAAGAAAAATACATTTCGCCTTCTGCTTAAAAGATGTATCAATTCAAAACAATTATCTATCTGTATTTTCAGTTGGTCTTGCTTTAGATAGGTTGGCCTAACCGTTAGACACAACAAATTCAGATTTGTCACTAAAAAGATTCACTTACAAGATAATAAATAAATATCAAAATATGTTTGCAGGTTCATAGTTTCTTCCTTCACTGGATAATGTATACACATCACAAGTAGAATATACATACATTTGAAATATATCAAAGATAAGGCCATCTTTAGTGCAATGTAATTCGATTAGTGTTAAGGCGAAATCAGGAAGTTGAAGGGCGAGGCAGTCTCTTCGCAATTTCCTGAGATAAAAAAACAAGATATCATTTGAAAAATTACGTGTACTAGCATGTCTTACGTGCAACAAGATCAAGATTTGACGTTTAATTCCAGAGAGAGAGAGAGAGAGAGACCTCAAAGAGCTGGTTTATGTTGTCTGCCGTCTTTGCAGAAGTCTCAATAAAGAACATTCCATTCTTTTCAGCATAATCAATTCCATCCTTAAAAATGCACAAAAAAGAAAAAGAAAATAAATTTGATTGAGTGACATAAAATATATAATTACCAAGTGACAGTAATCCACAATATATATATACTCACTTGAACTGGCACTTCTCGTTTTTCGTGAAGATCAGCTTTATTACCAACCAAAGCCAAGACAATATCAGGACTCCCATGCTTTTGTAATTCCTACCAAAGTGAACCAACCAATTGCTAAAGAAGAAGAAAAGTATTTCCTTCCAAAAGAGGAAACACGGAATTCAAAATCATTCAAACAAACAAAACATTTAACATTGTATTCCGAACATCAGAACTACAAAATAGACATCAGAAATATGACCAGACCAAGTGGACATGCAAATTTTGTTTTTGTTTTTGTTTTTGTTTTTTTTCAATGAGCATTGAAATATCGGTCTTCCTTACAAGTGTTGAGTGTAGAAGTGCTATCGATCCATAATGTTGTCAATAATCATTAAACATACCTTGACCCAATATTGTGCCTTATTGAATGATTCGGGACTGGTTATGTCATACACAACAACTGCCACTGCAGCACCTCTGTAATACAAAGGTGCTAGAGCAGCATACCTGGATAAAGGCAAAGGAAGGATAAGTATTTACAAAAATGTCAAAATATTTGATGAAAAGGAAGATATGTTTGGAGGTGTGCTTATTATGAACCCAAAAAATAGTTTTGCAAGTGATAGATGGCATGACAAAGTGAAGATTTTTTTTTTTTGTCAAATACATATACATAAAATACATAATACCTCTTCCGGCAATGCGCGAGTGGCATTTGACAAAATTAATATTTTTTTTCTATTAAGAGAAATAATACCTTTCTTGTCCGGCAGTGTCCCATATTTCAAATTTCACAGTAGTAGAATCCTGTAAGGCTACAGTCTGAGACAAAAATGAAGCTCCAACAGTAACCTAAAATCACAGAAAGAACTGTAAGAATTATGTATATATTTCTATAAAATAGTACAATCTTACATGAACGATGTTTTTCTATTCATCACCTTGGATGTCGGATCAAATTGACCACGCACAAATCTTAGAACAATGCAACTTTTCCCAACACCAGAATCACCTAAAAGCACCAGCTGCAAAGATTATGGGAAACGATTATGAGTTCATCGTATTAAATATTTTACTTTCCTTGCTCTTCACAATTCTTATACTTTATCTCGAGGTTTATAACTTTGACACAGCCTCAACAAGGATGTCAGCTGGAAGTGCTTAAACCCAATGGCCGAATTCAGTAAAAACTAACCACCGCATTTATGACATAGAATGACTCAAGAGGTAGCTTCTTAGAATGAAATCTAAATAAAATGAAATTTGACTGATAATCAAACCATTAAGTTCAGAATTCAGAAATCAAGGCCAAAATTCATTAAATAAAACATGTTTAAGATTGAAGCGAAACAGAAATGAGACGATAAACATAACTTTATGAATCTCACAGCATCATTAAGACTCTATCTCTATTCAGATTGGTGTGAAACTTACAAAGTCCAAGCTACATTGATGCACCCTGGTGTAGACCTGATATATAACTATATAAGCTACGATATTTTGCCTAAGTTATGATGAGAACTATCATTACTATGCTTAATGATAAACCTACATTATGCAAAAAGTGTGTTCTGTAACTCAAGCTTCTAGCGAAACTATTACCCAAAAATATCCGGACAACCTGAACCATGATCCAATCTTGGAAGGATTCAAATTCTATATTCAGCTGAAAGTAAAAACGATACTTTTTGGTCAATTCTGATTGGTTTACAAGAAAGCATGGTATCTAAAATGACTTGACTTCAGAGGTCCTTGATTTTGGCCTACCCAGCTCCTGTAACAATTTATTTTTTTCCATAATTCATGCAGGATTTTAGGGGTTTGGTACGAGTTACTTGGACTCAAATTTCGGTACACACGAAAAAAAAAAAAGGCACTTGATAATGCCACTTACGACTATGATGCCACACAAATAGATATTCTAGCCATTTACTATTCTACCAGTATAAGTTATTAAAATAGCCATCTTACTCCCCAACTTGTTAAGTTATTAAAATAGCCCACTTATTAGTCACTCTTCATATATTCATTAAAGGCAACATCAGTAAAGGTAGATTATTTACAATTCATCCAATTATTTCCTTACAGATTCTGAGTTTCATCAAGAACAGAACTTTGTAATTTTCTCATAATCAAACGTGCAGAGTATTTTACCTTAACACGGAGATTCTTTGCATCGATCGCAGCACCATTGTCTGGATTAATGCCCCCGAGCCGCCCAGTATTTCTATCTAGAAAAGGCAGAATTTAGAGAAAAACCAAAAAAAGAAAACGCAAAAAACCACCCAATATCAACCACTCCAAACTATCCAAGTCACGAAACAATACCAGTTGAAAATCCAGGGCGCATAAACGCAAACTTCAGGTTTCTAATTTGAAGTACTTCAACAAATTTACGAAAGTAAAATCAAAATTACAAAATATAAAAGGCATCTAGAGTTTGGGGAGAGGGATCACTGGTATAAAGAAGGCTTCGAATTGAAAACCCTAAACGTTGAAATTCACCTGGAACTGAAGAAGAACAACCCATGGGCAGTTAATTGCAGGGCAAGAGATTGTATCTATGTCTCTGCGTGCGTGTAGATGTGCGCGTGTATTCCCAATTTCAACACGACTCAGCAGAACGTGGAGGAATGATCAATCACACACAAAAGCGGAATATGTGTGTTCGTGGAGTGAGGAAATATAGGATTGGTTCGGAATAAGTTTAACTTAAAGAAAGGATCCAATGGATTTTAAAAACTAAGATCTATCTCTAATCCTCCACTTTGAACCTTAATTAAATTTGAACACATGTCAAATGATGAATGAAATGTAAATCCATGTAATATGAATTAGTACAATACCCGTGTATTACACGGGTGTTGAATTAGAAAGCTTTTATAAGAAGTATTATTTTTTTTATTTTTTTAAATAAAATAATTTAATTTTATATAAAACATTACTTTGAATTTTAATTAAATTATCAAATTATATTTTTTTAATCATAATAATTAAATACCCGTATATTAAATGAAAATGTCAACCCATGTTGAATTTTTTTTACTTATATCATATAAAAATATCGATATTATTTACTATTACATAAGTACAAAAATATATATTTTAAATAAATAAAAATAATATGGTGATATGTATATGCATAAGTGTAGAATATGTTTATTTAATATTAAGCAAAATATATTATCTTTTTTACTTAATTATATGCCTAATACATCAAGTGTCGTAGCAGTCGTGTTTCACAGTTTTTTTAACTTTATATGTAATTTAAAAATTTAGATAAATAATTATTTATTTTAATTAGATTGACAATATACCAATTAGATTTGAAATAAATATCATTTTTAAAAGAATACATACCAATTTCTATTACTCTATAATATAATTTATAGTTTTATTTGATATAATATAATTTAGTTTGATAAATGATAGTTAATTTGACATATCATATATGAAAAATAAAATACAAACAAAAAAGTTAGAAAATTTTAAAATAAGAAGAAGAAACATTTATAAAAACTAATGAATGAATTATATAAGAAAATGAAATGTGATGTATGATAATGTAGGAAAATGAAACATAAAATAAAATAGTTTATGATAACTAATTGTAGAAGTAAAGAAGGAAAAAATCAATCATGGAGTGTGATAAAAAATATTAATTTATATCCAAGCCTAAATCCAAAACATGATTTTTTGTCAAATAGGATTCCGAAGCACGAGACTTTGCCACGTAGACTCAGCGTATTCTGAAATATATATAGAGAAGGGATGTCAAAAGAGAAGACTTTTATTTGGAATGCACATCTCCAATGCATCCCTTTCAAAAGCTTAAAATAGGTTAGAATTTTGATGAGTTAGCTTTCAAACACGCTTTGAAAAACTAGAAAGTGGGTTTCACACTTTGGATATTTATTTTCTCCATGTCAGCATAAAAGAGTCCATAACATTATGGATTGGAGAATAATTTTTGTAATCAATTATAACTTGATGATGTGGCTAACATTTTATTAAGTAAACATCTCAGATTGGAAATACTCTAACTAATATGTGTTGATTGATAAGTCTATATGAAATAAAAATTTAATAGGCTTATTATAAAAGCTATTAAATAAATCTTATGAAATATGCTCGAGTTTTTTAGTTCTATCTACCAAATCAAATTTATTTGAATACAATAAGCACTAACGAAATAAGTTATAGTGTTTTCCAAAGACACTCATTGAAATTACACAAAATTCTTGTGTGAGGATTATCCAACTTTATTATATTTTTGCTTTTGGTACCCAAAGCTTTTACCTAATCAGTTCTTGTAGCCATCGAAAAAAATATCATAAAATTTAAAAAAAAAAAAAAAAAAAAAACTGCATAATGTCACTTCAAATTGAAGGCTAATATGAGATCAAAATACCAAACTAATTAAGGGTATTATTGCCTATGCAAACAGGAACAAAATGAGAGCTTGCTCATCATATTTAGACAACTGATTCGTCGAAAATCGTCAATTGAAATATTTGTCCCGCAGTCGCGTGCCGCCAAAAATATGCAAACTACACTGGAAATTTTGTGATTATTGAGGTTTGATCTACGATCGAGAGTTACCGTCTGATTCCTTATGAAAAGTGATTTCTATACATATATATTTTACAAAAATCCAATGATTGGATCTTCAGTTACATTCTCAACAATTTTACTACGCAATTTTTAATTTTATTTTAAAAAATTCTAACGATGACTTAACATATTTGAGGTATTGTATGATGAAATTAAATGTGTCCTTAAATAAATCGAGTTGAGTGCTTCAATATGTTATATCATTTATTTAAATTCACCACTTTTAGATGAGCGACGAATGGTGGCTAACGGTGGCGTTTGGTGGCAGCGAGATGGTCGGATCTTCAATTTTAGTACAATTTTAATTTAATAACGCTAGTTTTAATTATTTTTATTTTTATATACATGGGCTACAAAGTAACTTTAAAGGTTCGCTAGCAAATGTTATATTCAAGCAACCGAGTCAATCGATAAGTAGATTTTTAATCTATCCAGCCAGACTATCCTATCTGAACTATTTCAAAAAACAATGAATAAGAGTAATAGTTATTACTTACTATTCATATTATGTTGGGAAAAATACGCTGAAATTTCTATGAAGTCGGATATATAAAAGTGAAATAAAAAATAAAAATGAACACGCCAAATTGATAACGGAGTTCGGCCAATAATGCTTACGTATCTAGGCTGCTGCAGATATTTTATTGGAAAAAAAAAATACACTCGTGTTTACAAAACACTATCAAACTCACTCACAACTCACAACTCAAATACACACAGAAGCTAATTATTTCGCTTCTTTTTACTCTCTCTTTTTTTTTCTCTCTTGTGAATGTTGCCTCCGGTTGCTGGTCCGGGGTGGTCCACTTGGGTGGAGAATTTGGCCGTCTGGTGTGGTTTCAATTGTAATAATATTTTATATATTATTCTATTATTGTGGACCATATAAATTAATTGGAACTAATTGAATTAATAGTCAAACTAAATTACGGTGAATATATATTTAATGGATTATTTAATGTTCTAATATTAAAGAGTCCAATTTGTGATGTTTGACTTGGACAGTAAGTTAGGTTAGAACATGGGGAATGCTAATGGGATTAGGATTGTAAGTCTCCTCTTCCTATATATACTACATGCCCCTCTCTCCCATCTCATACGCAAATAAAGTTCTCAACATCAAGGGCTTTGTGAAAAGACGAGAGAAGCGGGGGAGAGAAACATAACCCACGATCGGCCAGACATACAAGAACAGGGAAGGAGTAATGGATTCTTGTAAGTTTCTATGTGCAATTTAATTTATGCAAAAGATCCATGTTCTATGAATTGATAGAATTACATGCTTAGGGTTTATTCAATTCCGCGTGATAGTTATGAGTATGCCCGTTAAATTTCTTACATCAATTACCCGGGACCTCTGGAGTTTTTGGAGCTATATTCGGGCTGGGTTCCTATTCGTGTGGGCGGTTGTCCCTGGGTGCTGTGTTCGTGGCTTCGCAGTTGGTTGCCGGTTGGGGGAAATGTTTATTCTAATATTGTGTGTTTATTTTGTTTATGTGTTGTTTTGGGTGTGTGGGTGTGTTGGTGTGTTGTTTAGTTCTTCTTTTTAGAAGTGTTATTCTTCTGTGTAGAAGTTTGATTCTTTTTTGTAAAGGTTTGATTATCTTTTGTGGGAGTGTTTAGTTTAGTTTGTGGGGTAGTGGGTGAGTTAGTTTGGCTAATTCTATGATGCGCTTACGTGTGTACTCCTCTCGCTAGATTCAGCTTGATAGCTGTTTGGCTTATTCTGGCTGATGTCTGGTTGTATCTTTGTATTTTTTGGTTATAAAATCTATCGTTCCGAAAAAGAATGTTAGTGTTTAGTGTGTTGTTTGCCATCAGAATCCCCTCAATTTATAGAGGGGAAAGTGAACATATTTTTCAACATAAGTGTGCTCATTTTTCCACAAAAAATTCAGCAGCCCATCGGTGCAATTCTTCTCAAGAATGGCTGCTGTTAATGTGAACATTGATGCTGCCATTTTCCTTCTTTTGCAGCTCAGAGAAAGGGGTTGAGCACCAATTTTTGACTTCAACATATTCCACATATTACTTATCTATATCTATATATATATAAAGAGGTTGTTGGAAAAATACATTAATAGAAAGTTTGACCAAATAAATATAATGTTTGACTTACTATTAATGGAAAATTTGAAAAAACACATGTAAATCTATAGAAACAACATTTGAATCCTATTTTTTCGGTAACAAATTTGGAGATTCTTATGGCAAAATTTGAATCCTTTTTTTTTTCGTATCATATTTTATTCTTTTACCAAAATTTAAATCATATCTTTTTTGGTAATAAATTTAGAGATTCTTATGCAAAAAATGTGTCAATTAGTTATGAAAACAATTCTAAATACAAATCAATTTAAAAATCGTGCAAATTGGATATAAATTTACGAAATAAAAAGTTGTATAATTTCTAACCAATTCTTCCAATCTTAGTGAATAATTTTTTCTTTCATAAAAAGTGTGTAAATTGGTTAAAACCACCTGCAATTTTTATTTTAAAACAAAACTGATATTTGGACGGGATGTACATCAAAACTATGCCCACATTTTTTGGTAACAAAAGCGGTTCATCTTTTAAAATAATTAATTCCACACCATATTTAGAAAGTTTTAGATATTTTAAATCATAAAATAGGGTAGCATTAAATGCCCCTAAAATTATGGGTTTTGTTAAATTCATTTTTGAAAATTTCGACAGATATTAAAGTGAATATGAAATTCAAAATCTCTTCTCATTTTATTTTTAATAAAATCTGCATCCAAATTTACGTGTGGTTTTGAAGTAAAAATTTGAAATTCAAAATCTCTTCTCATTTTAGTTACAAGAAAATCGGACTGCATTCAACTCTTGGACCAATTTAGAAATTATTCCTTAAATGAAGGAATTTATAGATAATTGTTATCTCTACTCAATCACATGATTATTTTCAATATAAAAAGAGACAGATTACAATTAGTGAATCATATATTACCTAACTAGTACAGTCCCCGTGCGATGCACGGGAGTTTATTATCTCCGTCCCTTTTATAAAGCAATGTTCAGTTACAATTCAAAGTACTTACTAAAGGAAAAATCATGTCATTAATAATAAATAAATTAATTATTACAATGATAATAAAATCTACATATTATTGAACACTTCCTTATATACAACGTGCATGGTTTGATTCTTTGGCACGTCATCGTCACCACAAATTAGGACTTTCAAACCTATTTCTGTTTGTGACACGGGAGACAACAACATATGATTGGCCATGACTAAATACTGGTTTCGTAAGCTCACATTGACTTTTAATTATAGTCATGGCGTAAGAAAACATAATGGGAAACAACCAATCCAATAACATCTACAAAAATATAAGAAAATGCATCATATTGAAATGTATAACATATAAAATAGTTTATTACAGATTTTAAATTAAAAAAAATTGAAATAAGAAATAAATAAAAAAATTATAACATACCAAACAACATGACTTCATCAATGTTACGAACATCCATTAAAGTTAGAAATAGGAAAATCAACCCTCCATTTGATAATCTTGGTTTGACCATTGATAATAATCCTTCTTTTTCCTATCGTCGATTTATGGATGCCAATATTGTTTTCCACTTGATGGTTTGTTAAGATATAAGCGCCACCTTCTTTAATATCACCGATGATTTTTTGGATATTGACAAGTCGAATTATGTCAGTAATTCGTCCTCCCTAAAACATTGCATAATGAATAATTCAATAAATAAATTATAAAAGACGTTGCATAAAATGATGCATTTAAATGATACTAAAAGAATATATTACTTCAAAATCATGAAAGATAATCTCAAGAACATTTCGGTAATTGCGTACGTCTTCAACTCGTTGGAACATCCTAATTATGCGTAGCTTAATTGGTGACTTATTGGATCTTTTGATATCCTTGATTACTCCAAAATCCGAAGCCATTTTCAATGGTGATGTAGCTTGTAGAAAAAATTATTTTGTGGGATATATTGAATGTCGAATACTTTTTGTTCAACGTTGGTGATGTTTATATAGTCATGTGTATGTGCCATATGTCTGGGAAATAAAAAAAATATTTACTTAAGGTATTTAATATGATCCGATCCAAATTTTTTTATTATGATTATGATTGACTTCTAAAAATATGTGGTATCGGATTTGTTAAAAAAATAAAAAAAAATGTGGAACGTGATTCACTTGTGAGGGACGAACGAATATTTAGAAGATTATGTAGCCAAAAATAATGGAGTTTGTTACAACGAAATTTGATAAGACTTTTTGGATAGATTAAAAAATAATATTTTTTTTTTTATTTTCCTATTTGTTTGGATAAATCTAAAACTTTAATTTACGAAATTATAATCTTTAATTTTTTGAAACGTGTAAAATTTTCTAAGATAACTTCTATAAAACAAAATTTGATCAAATCATAATTAATATTTATGCCTCAATATTCCAAATCAAACCTTACAAATATGGTATGATTATTTACTATTAATATTTATTTTTTCAAACGTCTGATTCTCTTAGGTTTATATGAAACAAAGTTCAATCAAATAAAAATTGATTTTTATGCCCACACTAAAACTTTATCAATATGATATGTTTATTTTATTTATTTATTTTTTTTCAAATCCACAACTCAAATTTTTGAGAGAGAGAAAAAAAAAGGAAACAAAATCTTATCAAACCTTATCAAATTCTCGAGAGAGGAAAAAAAAACAAAAAAAATTGAAAACAAAATTTTATCAAACCTTATCAAGAATGAAGATACGTGTTTCCATGAAAAGTTAACAAAATCCCGTGGTTACCAAAATCCTATTAAATTAGTTAACAAAATCCCATTAAATTGGTTAACAATATTGGAACGCATTTTGTTAGGAAAAATTTACATAATTTATCTATCTAATTAATATCATATTAACGTATGGGCTCAGTGATATTAATTTAGTATACATTCCATTATCCCGAAATAATTTCTTGTTTGATTTACAACATTAATTTTGAATGAAAAAAAATATCCGTAATTGTTGAGATATCTCAATTCAAAATCTCAAATTTTTAGCATAATAATCTTCAAATTTGTTACCAATAAAAATAGATTCCTATGGGATTAATATTTAAAATGAACTAAATTTTGGTATAAGAATTCCAAATTTGTTACCATAAGAATCTTCAATTTGTTACCATAAGAAACCCATAAAAATCTCCGATGGATTGGAGTTTATCAATATTTAGTATAGTATCCATTATTCAAGGAATAATTTTTTGTTTGATTTACAACATGAATTTGAAGGGGAAAAAGTCCAAAATTGTTAGGATATCTCAATTCAAAATCTTAATTTTTTGGCATAAGAATCTCCAATTTGTTAACATAAGAATCCTATAGAAATCTCATATGGGATTGGAGTTTATCAATAGTTGGTATAACATCCATTATTTTTTGAATAATTTTTTGTTTGATTTACAACATTAATTTGAATGGGAAAAAATTCGTAATTGTTGGAATATCTCAATTCAAAATCTCAATTTTTTGGCATAACAATCTTCAAATTTGTTACCAATAAAAGTAGATTCCTATGAATTAATATTTAAAATGAATTAAATTTTGGTATAGGAATCTCTAAATTTGTTACCATAAAAATCTCTAATTTTTTTGGGATATCTCAATTAAATTTGTTACCATAAAAATCTCCAAATTTGTTACCATAAAAATCTCAATTTTTTTGGTACATATGTTTTTTTCAAAATTTCCACTAATAGTAAGTCAAACTATTTATTTTTTTAGTCAAACTTACTATAAAAGTATTTTTCCAACAACTTATTTATATTACTATAGATTTAATATCTTAACATTAAAGAATAAATTCATAGTATTATGTAAATCCGTATCTCATATTATTATAGCATTAAGAATATATTATAGTTATATTATCAAATTTTTTAAAGATATTAAATCCATATTGTAAAAAAAAAATAATTCATATAATTTTATAACAATTCAACTACACTATTTAACAATATTCCTTTTTATTATATAATAAAATAATAATTAAATATTATATACTGAACAACAATAAGTAAAACTGTTACTTTCTCTTATATCAAGGGATAAATTTATATGCTAAAATTAAATTTTTATTAGTATAAATGTTTTAGTGAGATAATATATTAATTACAACTTAGCCTTAACATGCTCATATTAAATGTTCTTGCTAAAAAACAACGCTGGTTAAAAGATATGGAAAAAAAACTTATAATAACCCTATTGTGTTTTAGACTTAACGTTGATCAAAAGAGGTAAAAAATAGATAATAACTCTATTATTTTTAGACTTAAATAGACAAAAGTGTGAAAATAACTCATTTAATATCCAATCACGTGCATCACACGAGGTACGTACTAGTGAGTATCGAAACGGAAAAATGTACTATAAATTTGAACTACCAAAATTGATTTTTCGGACGACCCAACCCCAACCAAAGAAAAAGGAAAGAAAAAAATAAAGTAAAATTTCCAGTGTTTTTTATTCTATACGTCAAACAAATCAAACTGAGGAAGATTTCTTTCGTAGGATTACAGGGAAATGAAGCTCAAAAAATTTCTATCAATCCATGTTTTATCAGTGTTCTTCCTATTAGGATTCATATATTACGAGACAACATTTGTATTCATCGAAGATTGGTATGGGTTGCAGAGCTCAGCTGGGCTGCTAAACTCTCTGATTTTCAGCTTTCTAGCATCTCTATGCGTTTTTTCACTCTTGGTGTGTGTTCTATCGGACCCCGGCGGCGTCCCATCTGGTTATGTCCCCGATGTTGAAGACAGCCAGGGCTCGGATCAAGAATCCAAGAGAAATGTAAGCCCCTTTTGTGTTTTCTCTCTCTTTTTCTCTTTTCACATTCTTTAGGGTTTTGTGCGTCTGTAGAGAATTGCCTGCAGCTAGGATGAATTCCTTTGCTAAAATGGTTTATGATTAGATGCATGTGATTTAAGGAACCTGTTTATCGTATAGTTGGTGTGATCGAACGATTTCCGATGAATCAAGTTTTATTCATTTTTTTTTTTTCATGGTGATTATAGTTTAGTTGGTGTGATTGAACGGTTTCCGATGAATCAAGTTTTGTTCCTTTTCCATGGTGATTAAGTGCAGTGTGCTTTGGAATTTGAGATAGGTGAAAATGGGAAGAATTTTCTGTTTTTCACTACAATATCAGACAGACACACACATAATCGGAGGTTTGGTGATTCTTGGTGGTGCAGTTAGTGAATTCCAAGATTTTGATTGAGGGCTTTGATTCTGAGATGAAGGGCAGTAGAAGTTAGAACTGGTGTCTGAAATATGTGCTGCAAGGATTTGGAATGATTAGAGATAGTTATATTATGCCATAACTAATTTTTGGATATGATTAAATGGAACCAAGAATACATGTTGATGAGTTTGTCTACAATTTAGTTGTTCCAATCGAAAAAATCGTAGAGTTTTGTTGGAATTATCCGGCTACTTAAGACCTCCCAACTGCACAAGTTTAACAATTTGTGTTATTAATTTCATAATCAATTTACTGCAATCAGGAAGGTTTAAAGCTTCAGAGTAACCTTTTCTTGCACGGACTTACGAAGCTCAAAAACTTCACAGAAGCTAACTTAACAGTAGCGCAAACTTCTTAGGAATAACAAGTTTAGTCCTTTGATATCTCACTCATGCTCGGTTTGTTCATGATAGCGTCCTTACATTTCCTATTTCCCTCCCTCTTCCTCAACACATAATTAAGACCTTAACGTGTCAATATATTCACGATCAATCTGTTTTTGTTAGAGTTTCATGCATAATAATTATCTGTACTTCTCCCCATTTTGTTCTCGATATATTTACCTATGGAAAGAATTGCATGTTTAGTCCAGTATCTTCTGGTCAGTTACAGTTTCTTCCAAAAGCTTTTTGGGGTCTCAATTTGGTACAGTTGCTATTTATATTCCTGTTGATTACGAACACCAAACCTGAAATACATTGAGGGATTTTGTAGACAAAGAAGACGCATAAAGTAAAAGTTGATTCACTAATTTTGGACAAAGAGTTGGCTGGAAATCGGTTGCGGAATTGGGCAGCGGCAAATCTGCATATTGTTGTTTACATGAGCTTCTTTGCATGGATGTTAAGATCTTAAATCATTAATCTTGCATTGGAGAACATCGTTTCAACTTGAAATACATGAGTTTCTTTTGTTAGATTAATGCAGCATATATTATTTGGTTTTCGATTTGTGGCTTTCAGGGTGTTCATACGAGGCTCTGTGACAAGTGCTCCATGCACAAGCCTCCAAGGGCCCATCATTGTCGTGTCTGCAGAAGGTGTGTTCTAAGGATGGTGGGTGCTTTTTGGATTCTGTTGCTTTCAAAGTTATGATTTTGTTTTGGGATAGTTACGATAGCTACCTACAAATGTTTTTTAACCTTTTGCTTTTAAGATTCGTCATTTGTGTTTGTTCTATAAGCTATCCCCAATAGGTCGAATTTGTACAATAAAGACTACTACCTCATGGTTCTGTAATTTTGAAGCTTAATTGCATTTTATTTTCTAATTTTGAAGCAGGATCACCATTGTTCCTGGATTAATAATTGTGTAGGCCTTAAAAACTACAAGTCATTCCTTCTTTTACTCTTCTATGCAACCGCTGGTAGCACTTACTCAGCAGTAAGCATAGTTTCTGCTTTTCCCTTTCTTTCATTTTAAATTTCAAACTACTTCAATTTGTTCCTTTTTTCATTCTTATTTTTTATTTCTTATAGACTGTCATAATACGTTGCACACTTGAGAAGAACTGGGATTTCCCCGACAACCATCCAGTCAAAATCCTTCATGTGAGTTTGTATAAGATCCTTATATTTCAGCTATTATATATTGTACTTAATTATTTTTCAGCTAGTTCTCTTGTGATGGGATATTTAGATATAACTTTTCATTGTCTAGAAATACCCCTCAAATTACAAAATCTACTTTTTCTTTAATAAATTTTTCTGTTGTATGAATCGTTTTACGGAATTCCTTTGACGGTATAATTTGCAGATGTGACTTAAAGTATCTGATAATGTACTTTATATTTCAGGTTGTGTGTGGAGTTGTGACTATAGTTGTAAGTCTTGTGCTTGGATCTTTCTTGGTTTGGCACATATTCCTCACTTGTCGTAATATGACAACTATAGAGGTAAAGATATCATGTCACGACTGCTCGATCCATCTATTTCACATTCTTTCTAATGCTAAATTATAATCTGATGGTAAATCTCAGTACTATGATACGAAACGAGCTGCATGGCTGGCTAGGAAATCCGGGCTGAGCTACCACCATCCTTATGATGTTGGTTCTTTTAAAAATATTTCCCTGGTCTCTCTCTCTCTCTCTCTCCCCCTCTCTCTCTCCCTTCCTCCCTCCCTCCCTCTCTCTCTCTCTCTCTTCATGTTTTAGGTCCGTTAGGGGTGATTGTTTATGGATTCAATTAGTTTTTTATGGATTCAACTAGTTTTTGTTTGTTAGTGATTATATTAAAGTAATATTTAAATAAAATAATTAATGTTGATTTGATTTAAAGTAGGAGAAAAATGATTGGACGTGGGTTAGTTAAAATTATGTGAGTGGATGAATAGTGAATTAAAGTTGATGTGATGTGTAAGAATGATTGGTTGATATTATTTAATTATATTGATAATATTGATGATAGTGGATTGGTTTTTTTTTTAGTTGAATGTATCACAATCACCCCCTTAGAGTTGCAAATAAAATGAGTCTTCTGATCATTGGAAAATGAATGAATGAATACATAAATAATGAATTGAAAATGCACAAAACATAGAAGTCTGGCAGTTTCGCACAGTGGACATGTGAGGTCATGTAATTTAATAAATGGCAAAAATGCATTTTTAGTGTTGTTGGTTTAATGTCATAGCAATTCTAGTCCAAATGTTCCAACTTTTCGCCTTTTGGTCTTGTGATTTAATATTTTGCTGCAAGTTTAAATTATAGGACTTAAATTGCTAATCGAGAATCTGAGAATTTGGGAATTTTTTGCAATTTCAGTCCTCAAATGACTGAAATTGCAGCAAAATATTAAATTATTGGACCAAAAGGCAAAATGTTGGAACTTTGGGACTCAAATTGCTATGGCGTTAACCCAGCAGTACTAAAAAGTGCAATTTTGCCTTAGAAAAATGCGTAGCTTGGACTTTAAGGTAAATTCGTTGCATTCGTAGTTTGTTCTTGTGTTGTTTATGATATCGAAACTGAAAAGTATGACTAATGAATGATCAGATCTTGGGTCCGAACATGTTAAAATGGCTTTGGCCTACATGCACCAGTCATATCAAGGATGGACTTAACTACCCCTCTATACGTGATAGCTCGTGACACGACACAAATTTTGCCTCAAAGAATCAAACATTTGTATTCCTTTATTGGCTGTTGCACAAATTGGATAGCAAAGAAAATTCTATTTTGCACGACTGCACGAGGGTAAGAATACAATGCAATTTGGTAAGTACTTGGAGCTGCAAATTCTATTCCCTAGAATTGTTCGACAGTTATGTTACACGGATGGCAGTGATATAGGTTAAAAAACCATTTGCTCGGTTTTTGAAATCTATGGTAACTATTCTCCTTCGTTGTTTCGGTCAAAGATTCATTTTATTTTTATTTTTTGCTTTTCTTTTGTTGCATAATAGTTTGTTTAGCCCAAGTGTATGATGTGTGTGGAAGAGGTTTATGGGAATAATGTAGTGGTTTTTCTAAGTGAACACACTTGGTAAGAACTGCCCCATTGTGTTTTGTTATAAAGCTTTTGATTGACCGATTTTCTGAGCCTAACTGTTAATGTTAAGTAGGTCGATTTGTTATATTTTTTTGAATAAAAATGCATAATTATACTATCAAGTATCATGCTTTTGTTTATGTTGTTTTTCTTAGGCGGCATTTTTTTTATGAAAGTCTGCGTATTTGCATAAAAAGTATTTCAGCCTAATGCTTAAACTAACATAACACACAGCCGAAGTAGATTTTGGTTGGTAGCTTATCTTCAAGTCTCTGGTCAGCAAACACTTGAAGAAAAAAGTAAATGGTATTAACTGAAGCAAGCTATAAAAATACAAAGGCATCATTTAATTTTGTTTAATTCTCATATTTGCAAAATTGCAAGATTTTAATTTTCTGTCCTATTTGCAGAATAAGTTAGAATTGATGGTTATTTGACTTAAACTTGTGTAGTGCTAATCCTATTCACATACAATGACAACAAACATAACATGCATTTGGACTCATATCCATACATTTAATGAGGGTTGAAACAAATGTATGTGTTTTATTATAATAATAATAATAATAATAATAATAATAATAATAATAATAATAATAATAATAATAATAATAATAATATATTGTACTATTCTTTCCCCTGATTTTTTTATGCAATTCCATTAAATAATTTATAAATAAAAGTCAATAATTGTTATTAGGCAGTTTTTACTAAAGGAAATGACATGCATCCACTCATATATTTCTAATAATCAATTATTATAAATTAATATTTTTTTATTTTTTTATGTACATAACATTAACTTTATTTTTATCTTATGTGCGATTGGATATAAAAAGAATAGTTTTGATTCAGCGGATAATTTTTTTTAACACAAAACTATGATTAGATACAAAATTTAAACTCAAAATTTACTATTCATTTAATTAAATTTTTTTATCAATCAATATAAGAATATAATAAAAATCATTACTACAATACTATTTTCAACATGGGTGGTTTTTATAAACCTATAATATTTGTATAGATTTTATGTGATGCAATGTGATAGGATCTTATCCACATTGTCTTATTATTGTAGGTTAAGATATTCATTGGGCCACATAACATTGCGTAACGCATGAACACTCGATCAAATTCAAAGCTCCTAACTCAAATAAATAAAATAAGTGTCAATCACAAAAATATAATAAGAATTGTGTATTCGCACAACTCTACGTGTAACTCTTAGTCTAATGAAGCCCCTATTTAACAAAACTGTGCAGACTGCAGACATAATCCAACTTACAATATTTTATTAAAAAAAAAATATAAATTACATAAATGATCAATATANTATACATAAAAATAAAATGACACAAAACTATAGATGTTAACTTAATAATAAATTTATTTAGACTCAATTAAAATAAATGCTAACATAAATTAAAAATTATTCAAAGTTTATTATATATATATATATATATATATATATATATTTACTTGCTGTTCATCAGTGTATTTACGAGATTGTACGTAGAAAAGGAAAAGGTTAAAATAACACATATTTATATTATCATAAATGAGATATATAACAACACAATTTATTTTATATACTCTTTCTTTTCTTTTTTCACTTTCACCATCGATATTCATAAGTATAGTGCAGATCAGTAATATTGTAAATTCCAAATCTGCAGTTATACCGGTCTAGCCATCAATATGTGGTAGTAATCGATCCAAATATTGATATTACCAAAGTAGCAACTATCATTATATACATATACTTTCTAATATAATATACGAAAAATAAAAAAATAATTATATTCATGAAGCCCAACTCTTTAATAATATAAGTATGATTATCAATTTTAAGCTAAATTAAAGTCAATGGTTAATTTCTCTTTATTTTTGTATTTTGGTTTATTTATTGACTGATATTTCATCCGTATTTCTTGATATTCTGACCTATCTTTATGAGTACACCTCCAATATTATCGTAAACTCAATATTTAGTGGGTTTTTATATTTGGCTAGTGACTGAAATATATAAAATGTATCCAAATGTTTTAGAACAAACTTCGTTTTCTTAGTGAAACTGCGTTTTCTTTGTGTTTCATATTTGATTGAAGCAAATTATAAGTGATAGTGACACTCCAACCAAATACATTTATGTCATTAATATATATCTTGTGTCCAAATGTAATCATGCAAAAGAAAGAATAAAGAAGAAAATACGTGATAACCACTTTCCCTTTTAATATTAATATAATTGGCCTAGAGGGCAAACCCGTAAAATGTGAGTAATAGTTACATTTCATGAAATTAATAATTAAGCAATGGGCAAAAATTCAATTTTGGTCCGCTAATTTGTCCATTGTCCACTTTTTGATACATTATTTTTTTCCTCATAAAAAATGGTCCATTATGTTACATTTTTCATCAATTTTAGTACGCTACTCCAGTTGGCAGGATTACAAGCTGACGTGGACCGGGATTGGAACTACGTGGAGAGATAAAATATTGACGTGGTAGGATAAAAACCTTATTTGACATCTCGTAATCCCGAGCCACGGGATTAGTGTACTAAAACTGATGAAAAGTATAACATAATTGACCATTTTTTACGAGAGGAAAGATAGTGTACTAAAAGTGGACAATGGACAAGTTAGCAGACCAAAATTAGATTTTTGCCTTAAGCAATGACAATTATATTTCACCATATTAAAAATAAAATTATATCATTAAATAGGAATATCAAACCATTATTTGAAATAAATATCAGGCAATAAAGATGTTGCGGTCACGTCCCAATAATAGCAACATCAAGACATTCCACTCTTCAAATCTCAAATATGTTTGTTGCGGTCACGTCCCAATAACTAGTGTATATCTTGTGAAGTTTGAAATAAATATCAGGCAATAAAGATGTTGCGGTCACGTCCCAATAATAGCAACATCAAGAAATTCCACTCTTCAAATCTCAAGTATGTGTGTTGTTCACTAACTAGTAATATATCTTGTGTGATGCACGTAAATATTGTTAAGATAAACTTTACAAATTATAGAAATAAATAATATAAAGTACAACTAGTACGTAACCCGTGTGATGCACGGGATGTAACATTTCAAAGAATAATATAATCTCACGTGCATTAGGATCGAAATTGAAATCATTAAAATACATAGGAACATTGTTGAATCATAAAAAGTTCGGTAACAATCATATATTATTAAAAACCTCCTTTTACACAATATTATGAGTTTGATTATTTGGTAACTCCTCATTATCACAAACTAATATTTTCAAAAGAGACAAATCCTAAAAATCAAACTAATATTTTTGGTGAACAAACCAATATTTTAGGATTGCTGAACAAACTAATATTTTAGGATTTTTAGGAATTGTCTCTTTTTGGTGAACAAACTAATATTTTAGGATTGGTTATATGAATAAGGCTACCTGTTTTTGGCGTTCTTTTCATTCATTTTCATTCAAACAATCCGATGACTTGTATAATGAAATCCGAATCTTAAGCCAAAATATTTAAAAAAAAAGAGTTTTTAAAAATTGAAAAGTCAAGCCAATCAGTTCAGATTAATTAAAGGTCAAAGAATATCCGTTCATTGAAATAAAGACGTGTGCTATCATTAACCAAATATCCGGTTATTGATATAGAGTGATTACCAAAAAATAGAACGCGATAAGGACGCTCCATGGAAATATCAATGGGATAAAGTCATAACAGATCGCTATACATTTTAACTATTAAAACTCAGATAGAATGATTTATGATAATTATGTCGTAATTAATGAATTAATTAGATGTGTGAAAATGACAAAATTAATGAGAAGTGTGAAAAGGACATAATTAATGACAAGTGTGAAAAGGACATAATTAATGAGAAATGTGAAAAAGACATAATTAATGAGAAATGTGAAAAGGACAAAAACTTACCAATTTTGGAAAATATTTAATGCAAATTCGACATTGACCATAATTTGACCTACTATTTTGGATAAATGTTAATTCTTATTATATAAGTATAGAGTATAGATTATCATACATTGACTAAAAGTGATATTACCTTATTTGTTCGACCTGTGAAATTACAAATTTCGTGCAAAATTTATTTTTTTACTCTATGCTCCACTCTTAGAAAAATCATTACAAACAAATTTATGAACTGTATCAATGCCATGAGTGATGGTTAGAAAATTCTAACTCTATTTTTTCACTCTTTTATTTAAGTCAAGCCTCTAGTTTTCTATATCGTGTAAATATATATCTCTCTCTATATAAGAAGTTATGCATTTATTTAAAATAGCATGATTTTTCCGTCAAAAAAAATATTATTTACTAAATAAGATTTTTTTAGTTATTATTTTTTCTCTTTTTTAATATTTTTTTTTTCTTAACCATCCAAACTTTTATTTTTACTATAGGTAATGTTGTATCAGTAATTTAATCTAAATCTGTTGATTAACCTTTCCAAAATTTATCAATCAATTATTTTATTTCTACTTGATTTATTTTTATTTTATTGTTAGTGGTGTATCAATAATTTTGTCATCTATTTATATTTATTATAAGTTATATAATATACATATCATGTTTTATAAATTTGTTCATTAGTAAAAATGACAATATAATGAGAAACTATTTTACATATATATGAATCACAAAAATGACATAAAATATAATAAATAATGTAATTTTTACAAATTTAAGGGATCAAAACCAATTATTTAGTTAAAAAAATTAAATTAAATTGATTTATTATTATTATTTTGTTGTTGTTGTTGTTGTTATTGTTGTTGCAATTCTTTATGCAATTTTAAGGGGTTTGCTATTCCGTTAACCAGTTAGTTATTAAATGACCTGCAGCTGCTTACTAAGATAAAATTAAAATAATGATATTAATTTTTAAATAAAAAAAACTGAAAAAAAATGTTGTAAATTTTTTGTACGTGTACAATTTGCGTAAAATTTTAGTGTAAATTTATAATTAGTTAATATTAATAGTAATTATTATATGATAAATACGTAAAAAATATTGTTGCACTTAATTAATAAAAAGTAACAGTTAATTTTAATAATTAAATGAAAAATGGGGAAAATGTCATTAATTTTCTCCCTC